GGGTATCTGGTCTCGGTTACCTGCCAGCTGGGCTCCGCGTGTCTGTAGTAGCAGAAGTTCTCTGTGATCCAGTTGTAGATGGTGGACAGGGTCACTTTGGGCTGCTTGCTGGCCTGCATGGCCATGCAGATGAGAGAGGCGTAGGAGTAGGGCGGCTTGACTTTGGGGTTCGTTTTGTAGTCCACCTCTGCAGGGGGGTGGCTCGCCTGAACCGGGATATGCGGGTAGCCGGATGCGGGACGCGCGGAAAAGCGCGGGACCGCGGAGGCGCTGGAGTCGCTGCCGGAGGTGACGGGGCTGCAGGGGTGCAGGGGCATCCCGGTGGTGGCGGTGTCCCCGGCCGGCGGGCTGGACGGGGAGTCGGTGCCGGATCTCGGGAAGCCGAGACGTTTCAGGAAGAGTTGCTGCTGGGAGGACGGACATCCGGGTCCGGGGCAGCTGCTGCTGCTGGTGGTGCTGGTGGTGGTTCGCTCTGGGTCAGCGCTGAGGATGGAGAAGTTCTGGAGCCAGTGGAGGCTGGTGAGGCTGTCGTCGAGGGGAGCCGACTCAAAGCCAGCCACCTGGTCCTCCGGGAACACCGCGAGCCAGTTCTCTTTAAACCTGTTGGCGATATCTGGACTGGTTAAAACTGGCATCCTGCTTTTACGCACGCGCTGGAGGCTCACGGGGATCTCACTACCATTTAAAGTTCGGTTTTAGCCTCAAATGGGGAAAAAAAAGGAAATTAAAAATTAAAACTTTTCCAAAAAAATTCACCAAAAGCAATTATTTATGTATAAAAAATCCAAAAGAGTCTTGTTTTGAGGGGGAGAAAACGATGCGTAAAAAAACCCCTCCTCTCACAGCTCCGTGCTGGAGAAGATGCTGCGTGTGCACCTGTTGCAGTCTGCCTCTGCTCTMCTGCTTCTTTAGATGCGCATCTTTTCTACGCGCAACAAGTGCGGTGGGGGGAGGGGGGGAGCATCCAGCACATATGGAGGGGGGAGGAGGGAGGAGAAGGAGCGAGCAGGAGGAGGACCACTCAGGAAAACCAGACTGATGGGGGCTCTCCCGAAATGAGCGCTAGAAGATTAATTTATAGAAGCTGTAAAATAAAGTCGTCCAAGACCACCACCACCCCCCACCCTCTTCACATCACTTTAAGGTCCCGGAGTCCGCTCCATGTAGCCTTGACCATTTCTTGCTCTGTCTGGAGTTCATGTTTTTATATGAAGCTCTGGACACACGTGGCTGTTACGTGTAAGATCAGCTCCCTTTGCTCTTTAGTCTCAATTTGGAGCGTGAGTTTGTGCGTGGCGCGCGTTACGGATCCGCGGCTGGCACTGGAAAAGACGCGCCACAGGTCCCGCTTCTCACCCGCAAATCAAACAGCTCACTTAAACTAACAAATCTGTTTAACTGCACACACACACACACACACACACACACACACACACACAC